AAAGCTGAATTTGTCAATATAAAAATTCATTTTTATTTATATTTTGATACCTGAATTCCACCATGAATGTCTTGAAGCTTTCCAATTGTGTAAATTCGTCTTTGAGGTTCCGTTAACCATTGACATCTCCGTATCGTAATTTCCATCATACGATACTAAAACATAGAATTTATATTTTCAGTGCCGTGTATATTTTTTCAATTAATCATTAATTAATTAATTTATTTTATTATTAATTAATATGTTTTAATTATTGGATTGTACTTGTTCTATCTATAGAAACCTGTCGAGGTAAAGGCGTATCGAATCCATAAATACTTCCAACTTCGATATCGTGATCGATGCTGGTTATTGTCGTTTTCCTTTTTCTTTCATAATTGTTTATTACTGTCATCGAAGAATGTATGTTTTCTTCATTCTCCTCGCAATATTTCTTCGTATCTGCAAATAATTTTAATTTATATTAACAAAAAAGTGTATTACACATGTATATATTTTTTATTAGCAAATACCTTGTTTCTCATTGGCTAAAATATTGGGTTCTTCTGGAATCGTCTCTAAACAGATAGGTACCTTTTTCATGTGCTGTTTAACTGGTCGCAACAGCAGAGCGCCTATCATCGAATGAAAACTGTAAGCGCCAAGTATCAAGACAGTCCCCTATGTAATATTACATTTTTTATACTATATATGCTTTTTAATAAGATTTATAATAATTATTATTTTAAAAATAATTGTGTAAACAGTTATATTTTTTAATAAGTTAATTAGGAATTAAAGAGATATATTTCACTAAATACTTTATTAATGTTACAGATTGACAATGCAGAGAAAGAAAATCGTGTGTTAATTTAATGATATAGATCCTGATATAGACCCTATAGAATTGATAATATAGAAAGTAAACGTTCATGGTCCGACCTACATTGATAAGCAATTGCCATTTTACTATCAGCAACATTCACCGCAAATATAGCTACATCGAACGCGAGATGCTTCTTATCGAAATACATAAATACACAAACATGCTTTTAATGGCATACTGACATATCAATTTTGATATTTTGACATGATTTAACTTAAGACTAATCATTTTATACAAATAGTATACAAATAGTATTCAAGCTTTTTTAATATTTTTTTATTTATTATTTTCTTTATATTTAAAATTTTTCTTTATCGCAAAAGTAGTTTTTACGATACCTGAATACCATAAAATGAAAGTAAAAAGGATGATATTTGAGGCATAAGGATTGAACCCAACCCCGTGAGAGTCACCGATAAGCCCATAGCTCGTCCTCGTCTTGTAGTAAAATAAGAATTAATCGCCAAAGAAAATCCAGACATTGACATATTCATACCAATAGCTACAATAAATAAATTCATAAATTGATTAATTTATAGTGGTATAAAGCTGATATGACTGTATGAAATATGTCTACATTTAAAATTATTGAATAGACACTTAAATTTTAAAACATCTTGTTTATTTTATATATATATTTTTTTATATTTATTATATATATTATTTATTATATATATTTTTTATATCTAATAAAAAAATTATATTTTAATGATGATTAATACTTAATTTATTTACCTAATTAAATATAATTGAAATATTATAATTATAAATATAATTGATATATTTTGGAACGTTAGACATGTAAAAAAATTATAATATTATAATATTTTATATCAATAATTGCTAAAATTATTAATAAAACTGAATAATTTTACTTACAGGCTAATATTCCGTAGCATATTACAATAAGAGTAAAATTATTAGCAAATGCTGTTAGTGTTACACCAATTGAGTATATTGCACTTCCAATCATTGCTATTTTTCTGTAGCCGAAAGTTTTCAAAAGAGGTCCATTAATTAAACCGAGTATCATACCAAATGCCAAATTTATATTAATTATAATTGTTGTATCCGTTGCATTCAAATTGAGTACAGCAAAAGAATCTTTGAATATCAATCCAAATACTTGCAGGATCGGAATGGTTGACAACTATAAAACATTTATTAATCTCGAATTAATTTCAAATTTTTTAATAAGAATTTTGACATTTGTATGAGCATTCATTTATTTCATATTATTTTCCTGATAAAATTATATGATAACTTACGCCATGTAAAGCAGCGGCTAGAACAATGATCCATCCCCATCCTCCATTTGGAGGCACTTTCGTAAACATTTTCTAAATCAATATAAAATCAAATTGTATAACAATAATTAATTTATAACAATAATTAATTGTCTACAAATGATATAAACGTATCACATATATAAATTAAAAATTCACTTTATCAAATAAATATTTGCATAAAGTCTGTTGTTTTCGTATTCATTCACGTAATTATCAATTGTGTGCAGAGTAATTGTGTCCCCTTTAACAATTGCCTGCAAACTGTATACAATCGTCAAAACATTAAACTTAAATCACTTCTTGAATTAATCATTTCATAATAGTATTGACTTTATGTAATAATAGTGACTTGCAATTTCCGATGTGAGATGATGTTAGATGCTATCAATCTTATCTGCATTAATCGATACCGCGGTTATTTGAATAACTTGACAAATCCATTCGGAAACGTAATCTGCAATTTTAATTGAAGCATCACTGATCTCGTTTTATCCGTCCGATAAACAAATAATCTTTGCAAATCTCTATTTATTATAATACAATAAAATATTATTTTTGATACAAGTTTGTAATTAAGTTTCCAATATACATTTTTAACATTTAGAAGAAAAAAATTGATACATACATATAAATGCACTGTTTTCTTTTTCCGTTTTATAAAATGTTACACAATAAGATAAATTATTACACAATTATCAGTAACAATCTATCAATAATTTTTCCTTTTGAATTAATGCACAAGTTGAATTGATCCAACACTAATAAAGTACTTGCAACCTGTATAGAAAAGTAACACAAAATTTAACATGTTCTTCTAATACCAAAGTACTCTCTTTTCGTGTAGTTTCTCGCGAAATGAGAAAAGTTATACTGTCACTCATAACACTCATAACAGATAAGAAAGTGTCTAAGAGAGCTTAAGATTAATCTAATCTTTCTGATCATTCCATGAAACATTCAATAAATTATTACTGTACAATGCAATTACAACGTTAGATGAAAACCAAATAGAAAATATACCATAGTAGAAATGTGCCATAGAAATTATATATCAATGTTATATATATGTATATAATTATATATAACTTACATGAATATATACGTTTATATGTTTATCATTTCTATCATTTGATTATTTTACAATAATTAATAATTGTAACATTTTATAGCGCATGTGTATCATTGTAGAAGAAAAGTTTAAAGTTTTTATATTATTCTTACATTAGTTTTGAAAGTAAAAAAAATTTTTATCAACAAATAATTAATCTTTAATTTTGTATTTTAATTAATAATAGTACATACTGTATTATAATTTTATATCAATTTTATTTCTTTAATTTTGTTATTGCATACACTTTATATTACTGGAGTTAAATTATAACTATACATTATAATTATACAAAAAATTACGTAATATTTATTTATTTAATAAATAACATACATAAATATATAGCAGATGAAAATTTTAATTTTAAATATATTAATCAAGTTTTCATTGGATTGTCTTATAACAGTATTGCAGGACTGGAGCAAAGAGAATGGGGAGAGAAAGAAAATAATAGAAATTAATGATATAAAATTAAGTAATAATTCGTGTATTTAAGAAGGTATGCGAATATATGCATCTGTATATATCTTAATATTCATATCTCTACAAATGAAATCTTATTACGCGTATCAACTTAGTCATTGATAAGCAATTATCAATGCATAAGTGGAGTCTGTTACAAATTCGCAATATAGATTGTTATTGATATAAAAATAATTTTCAATTATTAAATATGTCTGCATAATATACATTTGTGTAATGTTTAATTATATTACGTTATATTACGATAAATTATATAACGATCAATTTATAAAGATATATTGCTAATTTTATAGAATTATTAGCTATATTAATGGTTTAGCTATATTAATGGAAATTAAGTACATTTATTGACAATTATTGACAATTTTATAAAATTTTTTATAAAATTAAAATAATTAATTTTTATAATATCGTCAATGAGTTAAAATGTACGCTATGTCATTAATGTACGAGCAAAAATTTTGAATTTCTTGTATAATTATTCTACAACTAATAATTCTACAATATTATTAAAGAGATTGTAGAATCAAAATAATCTATATTCGTCAATGTTTTACATTATACAAAGTATTAGAGCGTGGCTAAATAAATTTATTACGCATTTTCGCGAGAGTTTTCTTGTTCCCCTGATGTATTTTGTTGATCTAACTTTAGTGTATTTTTACCGGGAGTCCATAATCCACCTATCAACCACAGGAGAACACAGGACAAACTGAGTAAAGATGTGAAATAAAGCGCACCTACGTAACTGTCTGTTGAATCATGCACCAAACCTGAAAATATTCAATTTAGATTAAAATAAATACAATAAGAATGCTGCTTTATTAAACATTATTATTTTAAAGCAAACATTAATAAGAAATTACAGGTTGCTTTCATTATAAATTGCTCTTTACCGATAATTGGTCCCACACTGATAGACAGGATGCCGTTACAAACCATCTGAATACCGGATGCGGCCGGTAGTCTCTCCAATGGTACGTAATCGGGAATGATTAAAGCTTGAAAGACAGCCTTGGTTCCCTTCGCTAGCCCAACGATTAGGGCTACTCCGATCACGATGACGTAAGTGTCACCCCACGTTGATAGAACTGTCAAGAAACTAACATGAGAAATGACTTTGTACAGAAGTTTATACAAAACATTGGGAATATGAAAATTAACAAAACTGCATACGTAAATTACAATAATAAAATGCTATAAGATAACAATATTGTCGAATGTTATTGAATATTATTGATCAAAGAATGTTATGTATGTTAAAAATTTTAACCTTAAAATATGTTGTAACATTTGTATTGCTATATAAATAATATCACGATTTCGGTCGCGGTTTGACAATAACAATTAATAATTTGCAGATGTATCAGTTGTCATATGCACATTACCAACTAATCAACCCACCCCAGAAATCACCTCGTGAAGAGATTCCTCGTGATTCGTATACTTTATGTGGCGGTACGTACTAGTCCTTCCGAGAGTCGATCCCAGCAGAGATATCACATAAAGATTCCTGCACGTCCAGCCGATCTTTTGCGCCAGCAATGGTACGCAAAGACGTCCCGTGATGTCCGCGGCAGCTTGAATCGACATCACTGTAGCTATGGACGTCCTGTCGAGGCTCGCTAATTCGGCCAGAACGAAAGGTATCATCGCATTGAAATTAGTTTCGGCTACCAACGAGATACTCATCCCTGTTTTTGAAACACACGTTACATGTACCTCTCAAGATCTTAATTCTACGAGATCTTACGGATTCACTTCGTAATCTACCTAGTACTATCGCTATGTAACGATTATCATGAAGAAGCTCGAGGTCCATATTTGTAATAATTTTTTTAAGAAATGAAGCTTTTCTATTTTCCTTTATTTCTGTTTCGCAATTCTCCGAACGATGGTGGTTTGATCGCCTTTCCTCTTCAGTATTCTCTCTGCTTAATAATTGACATTCAACGGCGTTACTTTCTACATTTGCTTCACTATTAACACATAAATTTTCCTCTTTCGATATATCAGTAGTTTTGTCTATCAGAATTTGCTAAAAAATGAGAAAAAAAAAGAGCATTCCAGACATGATTTACATTTCACATATTGCTGACGTGATACAATGGGATGTAATATACAATGGGACGACTGAAATATGTAAGATGAAAAATGATGAGAAGTATAAGATTATGTCTTTTTTCACGTACCTTTAACTCACCTCTTTCTGCTTCTCTAGCGGCCTTAACAGCGACGCACCAATAAGGGAATGCGAAGCGATCCCGGCGAGAATCAGAAGAGTGCCAGTGGTGGCAAAATTCTCGAGAAGTACGTCTATCAAAAGAGGCATTAAAATTGGACCTAGACCGGTCAATGTAACCGAGAGACCCATGGCTACGTTACGCTTCTTACGGAAGTAGGTGTTCAGAGCTAAGGTCGTCGCTGGGAAAATAATTCCTTGGCCTATACCTGTTAAATATGTTTTATAATTATATAATACTACTATTTTTGTTAAGATAATAATATAATGCAATTAATATACAAGAGTTTAAAGCTTCAAATTGTACAGAGTAATTGTGTAGAGTAATTTTGAAAATTTATGAGAATACAACAACATTATTATCTGCTTTAATAATTAAACTTGGAGAGTGTTATAATGTTGAGTGTCACTGAATGCTGAGTAAAAACTTAATAGCAAACGCTTTAAACATTCTTCCACTTGGATGTGCGTGTACTACAATCACCTTACTCTCCACAAGCTTAGTTTTCTTTCAGAGTTCAGTGGTGCTCAACATAAAAGGACAAACTCTTTATCGTATTACGGCTCTTATTTGTATTCCACTAATTATTCTGCGTTTATTTACCAATGATAACGCAGTAACTGATAATGAGAGTCGGGAGAGACACAGCGAAGGCAGCTGCGCAAATTCCAAGAACGACCGTCAAGCTGCCAAAATATGCAACCTGACGAAAGGCGAATCTTTTCATCATCGGACCGCTTATCAGACCTAAACTGCACGTTAGTGTCCCATTAAGATGGAGAATTAGACTTGTTTGTGTCGCGGCGATGCCGAGACTTGCGAAACGTTCCGCGAAGATAAGTCCGAAACATTGCTGGACCGGAAGCACAGCTAGCTGATGAAGGAAATTATAAATTAGTCTCTTAAAAATGTGTGGCTCAAATTTCGCAACATTCGCATTTTCTAGAATATCATCATCACATTTTACAGAACTTTTAAAATACTATGAATGTCGATAGAAAATGTTATTGTCTTAAAAATGAGCTGAATCTAATCATGAAAGATTTCTTTATAAATTTTTGAGTTATAACTTCTGATTAAACAAAGTTTTACTTACTATTTTGATGAAATCTCTCGATTAGAATCATAAATGAGGATTATTAAAATTCGTTTATAACAATAAGAATTAATTATCACAAATTTCTAATGGTTATTACGATAGTTATTTTTTTATATATACTGATAAGTTGACTTACATTGATAACAGTCACGCCAACGACGATCGCCCATGCCCAGCCTTTATCTGTCACACCACGTGCCATCCTATCGAACGTATTCAATCGCTGTTCTATGAGTATTTCATGAAAGTATTCCTAGATTTTTAGTTGTACCTCGCGCTCGTACTGTCAGCAGTACTGTAAGCTTGATCGTTCAGATATAACGTGTGATTGTCTGTTCAGATTGGCTAGTGATAAGATACGCGGATAAGGTTCCTCTCATTCTCATTCGTCTCCTATGCATTATGCATTCGCATATAATATACATACAAATCGTATGTCTCGTATGTGTTAGACGGCTGCTCTCTTCTATCGCGTATTCACATATTTAAACATATTTTTAATCGTCACTGTGCAATCTATTAAATACTTCTCCATTATAAAATAATTAACAAAATGGTGATACTTAGAAAACAATAAAAATGTGTTTTGTTATATATTGATCGATCAACTTTATATTTATAATAATTACGTTTATGACGAAAAGATAGTCCAATAGATTATCGACATTATTTTTAATATTTTTACAGATAAAAGTTTGTTGCAAAACACTTTATTACATAACTATTAACAGTTTCTGAAAGTTTACAACATATTGACGACAAAATTAAACTTTCTCTGACTTTTATTCGTGTTTCTTAAAGTTAAGAACCCATGACTGAAGTAAAATGATAAAAATAAACGTTTGTTTGATTAATCAGTTACTTAAAACAACAAAAATAATTATCTGAAATAATGAGTTCAATTTGTTCTTTTGTTTGCTCTTCATCAACGTCTTAGTTTCTTTATCTGTACTAATAATTCAGATACTCTTTCTTCTTTTCATACAAGCTACTTACCTGACATCAATCAAGCGGAGATACTTTATCGAGTCATCAAGTATGTTGGCAAATAGTGCATTGTACATTTAACAATGTTAAATATTGTCGGAAAATTTGTCAACACTGGATTAGAACGTCATCTTTATATTGTCAACGTTAACACAAGTCAGAAGTTGGAAAATTTATTTAAATGTTAGCAAAGGAAGTTTTTTAAGATGCTGCGTAAATTGATATAAATGTACGACACATATGCAGCCAAAAAAGTGTGCTCTGACACGAGCTGCGAACGCTGCGAGACTGACCCAAAGAGGAGGGGGCACGATGAAAACCGGCTCCGCTGCTCCATCCGAGATCAAATACAATCGTTCGTAATATTCGCCCGCGAGTTTGAATGCACGCGCGCATGCAATGCTTCGCATTCAAACGGTGCATTCGAACGTAAATAGATATATTTAATTTACAAACGGTTTTATGTATTTGATGCAAATTAAATCAACATGCCTCATTATCTCATGCAAGTTCAATGATGACAAGTGTAATGACACGAGTAATGATCTATACTATCCTATGTCATATCCGTTATATCAGTAATGTAATTTTAATTTTAAATAAAGTACTTGCAATTTGATGATAAAAACCGCAGCTTCTTTTTCTCACGAAAAATATAAACAGACATGAAAATAAATATTGATTATACATTTATCGAATTTATCTAATTTTATACTCGATAATCTTTTTTGACAGCTTCTGTTAAGAAAACAATGAGCGAGATTTGTTATTTGTCTGCACAGAATGATAACTGATTTGACAAGGAAGTTTTGCTTTTAGATAAACAGAAGAGAAATAAGTTTGTCGCACCTGTAAAAATATAATGCAGTAAGATAACATATCAGTGCATTAAAAAGATTATAAATTATGAAGTCATGGCACTTTAATCCAATTTAACGCACTATATTTCTATTACAACAAGATTATTTTTTAACATGGAAAAATAATTTTATTATAATAATTTATTATTATATGTTAACAAATACGCATTGCTTATCGTTTTATAATAAAATGCGGGAATTATTAATTGAAAAAAAAGATTATTCCAAGAAAGAATTATTTATTTTAGAATTTTATGCTTCATTAATCATAAAAATTTGACTGATAACTGATAAAAATATATTTAATCATTCTATAAAAATATTATTAAATTTAGAATACTATTCCATTATGTTCCGTCGTAATTTTTTAGCCACTGCAAGTCGTCTACAGAGGATGACGTATAAAAATTCAATACTCCACACGGTAAATGTAACAACTATCATGCCGGTCATTACATGAAGACAAATCTGGTAGCTATCGGTGACATCCCTGATGTATCCTTTTTTTAATAGATATAAAGAATTATTTTTCACAATATTATTTTAATATATATATATATATATATATATATAGCGACATTATATAGACATACCGTTAAAGGACTCATGGTGACTACGCATATGCCTTTACACACCATAAATATTCCAAGTGCACTTGGCAGCTTCTTTAAAGTACAACATTCGGATATGCAGAGATTTAAATTCACCAATGTAGCACCACGTAAAAATCCCGCTATTACAAACATGACAATCAGCGTCGTCCCTTTCGATTGTTCCGCTAATACTGCGTAAAAAAGAAAAATTTTCAATCTCTCTACTTATTCCGAACCTTCTGTAGAATTACATTCCCTATTAAAGTCTTCATTATTTATATCTATTATTTAAATTTACTCTAAATTTAGACTTCAAGTAATCATGTTTAATAAGAGTTTAATAAGAGAAATAGCCATAATAATAAAAATAAGAATGAAAACGTAGTGGAATAATTAAATTTAATAATCTCGTTTAAACTCAATGGAAGAATTACTGGAACGTGCAATTCCAAGGAGGAAGCAGAAGATCCAAAAAATTATGCGCTTTTTCCAGCCGAATTTGTCGAATAGCGTGGGCAGTATCAGTCTAGCGAGGATGTCGGTGAATGCAGTCAGGGACAGGCAAAAGGCCACCTCCGCTTTCGTCATTCCTGCCGATCGTCAAGTTCCTACGAGCAGTTTATGTAACTCACGAGCAGTGCCGTAGCGAGGATGTTTGATGAGATCGGTGTCTTTCGATCATCAAAGTCCCTATAATATTGCTCTAAACAGATTTGTATGTATGCGATGCGACTAATTTTTATTATTAATATTTCCGCGTTATTTAATAATACATGGGAATTCCTTTGACAACAACTTGGGGACATCCTTTGCTACGGTACTGATACAGTTAAAGTTTATATTAAAAGTTATATGTTGAAAATTTACTCACCGATATCCGAAAGGAAAAAAGGAGTCATTAATTTGAAATTCGATTCAGACACATAGTAAAAACTGCAACCTAAAGTAACATTTAAGTACGTGGTATTTTTGAAAAGATCTAAGTCAAATATTGTTTTTATTTTCTTTATAAATGAGTTCGTTTTAAATGGAACTGGCTCATTTTCCACGTTTTGATCTTGCGTCCACATCGATCCATTTGACATCCTCCGTGTTCCATCAGGATTTGATTTCATTAATAGAGCATCGCTTTCTTGTTTTTCATTAGATTTTGTCTAGAAAAAAGTGTATATTCTTAATAAGTGTTGCTCAAAGTTTGAAATATCGAAATTTTAAAGTATGACGATTCAGTATTTAAAAATGCAGTGTGTAAAAATGCATGTATGTAAAAAATTTACTTCGACTGGTGGTATCGATGATTGTTCTTTAAGTGGACGTAACAAACATGCTCCTACTATAGAATGTAATGCCCAGCCTCCGACAATAAGTGTTGTGCCGCGAAATCCGTATAAGTCTAGTAGCATATGTATCAACTACAAATAAATCGTTTTTATTTATTAGACAAAATCTTTTTTTTTTCTACAAATATCTCTTACCAGCGGTACGATCATCATCGCCAATGCATTTCCCGCCATGGAAAAACCCACTGCTTGTCCTCGCTTTTTGTCAAAGAACGTATTTAATGCGACAAAAGAACTAGCTGTGGCAAGGCCAGTACCTAAACCTGTCGCAATCAGAATGGTATTAAAACATTAAAATAGTATGATTTCTAATAATAAATTCTGTATGTACCTCCTAAAACACTGTAAGAGCAAATAATATACAGCATACTATTAGCCTGTGATGTAATTATTAAACCAGTGCAGCTTAGCAAAGATCCAAATAATGCGACTTGTCGGTAAGAGTACTTTTTTAACAATGGCCCAACTAAAAAACCTGAAAATATACAATAACTTTAATAAGAACAAATAATGCTTTATTTTAATAACCAAAAGTTGTTTTTTTATCGCAAAAACTACATTTTACCTGAAAAATTAACGATAGCATCTAAGATGCTCATTATAACCGAAGTTCCTGTGGAATCGACATCGAGATTCTCTAATAAATCTTTGAAGAGCAACCCAAATGATGGATCCAAGGATCGCAAAGATAGCTACATTTTTCATTGTTATTAATTATTAGTTATTAGTTAAAATAATAATTAAAATTTTTCTACTATTATAAATAGCATTTTATATAATTTTATTTTGTATTTTTCTTACGTTTCAATGTCAATGTAACTGCATATATATATATATATATATATATATATATATATATATATATATATATATATTTATATATAAATGTAGAAAATGTTAATAAGTTATTGCGTAATATAATGAACATACATAAAAATAATAGTTGTGAATAATTGTGAGATAAAAAGTTAGATGTCATTTAAAAATAATTTTCTGTACTATTTTTCATTACTTATAATATAATCTTTTTCATACAAATTTCTGTTTATATTATATTTTTATTATAACCTCAATTATAAATATAAATACATAATTCAGAATTTTTATATAACAATGCAATTGACATTTACCAAAATTAGACTGCTTCCAAGACAAATAAACCAACCCCAGCCACCATCTGGAGCTTGTCCTTTAATATTTTTTTTCTTGTTTTCTTCTGTCATCATCCACGAAAACGATATCTTATACTTAGCATAAATTATCAACGTTAAAAAGTGTAGGAAAAATCAGTACTGAGATTTAAACTTCTTGACTATCTTCTTTAAATAGCATCCTCTTATAATCGTCTTCTAATCAATACTAATACTACTCGCTAAACACTAATCAAATACTCTGCTTGCCCACTGCTGTTGTAACTTTCTGTTTCGTGTGACTGTCGATTAGTGAAGTGTCGATTAGTTTGCAGTCTATTTCTCTCCACTTGGAGTTTCCACTCCTACTCTTCTGGAAAGATACGTTGGTCAAGCGGGGAATTTAGAATAGCCGTTGCGTGTATAGTCAATTGAATTGTACACTTAAAAATCTACAAAGCAATAAATAAAATTTTATATAATATGCATATTATGCAATAACAAGAACAAATTATTTTTGTATTTAATAAGTCACATAATATGCAAGTCATATCTAATCGCATTTGGATTTGGTAATCAAAGAAAATATCTATCGTATTACAAGTTTAAATGAAAAACACGCACACTCTAAATAAATTTTTTATAATATATCGATAAGATATCTTTAATTGTGCAATTATATTACTTGCTTTTTAATATTATCTATACTCAGTGACACATGACATACATAAAAAAAATTATAATTATAATTATTTATGGGATAATTGTAAATAAATTTTATTAACTAGACAATAAAGTGATGGCTATGTATACATTATTATTATTTTACGTTATCATGCAAGTATATATTTCCATTTTTAATATTTCTACAGGAATTATATTAAATTATTATTACTTAATACTTAAATTATTACTTATAATAAATGTATATTAAGTAAATAATAAATATAATAAAACGTACCATTAAATCTATAAAAACATAAAAATCTGATTTTAATTATTTGTTGTTTATTCAACACGATTTTATTGTCTTGTTTCACTCCATATATATTTCTCACATCACACTTCTTTCTTATTCAGCAATGTAGACGTATTTACGAATCGCTGGAATGAGTAATTGGAGACGGTTGAGTTAATTGGCGAATAATTGTTAACGCAAGTGACCACTACGAGCACACGCGGATCGTTTGCAATACTGATTGACCTTCGTTGGTTGGACGTTTTATCTGTATCCATATTGAACATATAGATAGCATTCACTGAGATATAGATATACGTCAGTCTACATACAAAATGTTACCTACTTGTATTAACAAAAATACTTTAACAAATACAGTAATAATTTTGATACCATATGAGAGTATTCATAATGTAATATTTTTTTCACGTTGTAAAGTTATTTGATAATAGAATTGATTATATATATATATATATATATATATATATATATATATATATATAAAATTATTCAAATTTTTTTTGCACAATATTTATAAATATCTCTAGAAAATTATTACAATAAAAATATACTTAATCATTTTTCTTTCTAATTCTTCTCTCACTTACGTATTATTTTTTGTGAAAGAATTTTTATAATAATAAAAAATTATTCAACTTACAAATTCTTATTAATTTTGTTCTATTTACTCTTTAACATATCTAGACTAAAGTCGTAGTATTAAGATATTCATTGTTGACTAATCAGATATGGAAGATAAGTTTTTTTCTACTATTTAATTTACTAGTAGTTAATTTAATTGGAGCATCTCGTGCATCAGAAACCGCACATGAGACAATTTGTTTACATTTGTATCTTTTCTCTTTGTGCAATTCCGTAATTGCAGATGCTACTGATAATATTTCAGTCCGATCTAAGAATGGTATTTAACGACACTTTCAACGTAAGATAAGGAGAATCTCGAAATTGTTTCTGGCATAGTCGATTCCCCGCTTAGTCAGAAACTGTCTACCTTCGATTATCGTGGAAGTGTATCGGAAGCGTTGACGTTTGCTTCAAATTTATCTATCATTCTGCTAGGTAAATACTTACATCTTATCTTCAAATCCTGTACAATTAAAATATTGTCTGGTTTCAATTTTGATTTGAAAAATGTTATAAAAATTTGACATAAATTTGTGTAAATGATGTCAACAAGGATATAAATAATCTTATATAAAATTTATAAATTTTTATATATATATATAAAAATATTTTTATTAAAATATTATGATTTACTTATGTTATGTATTAATAAAATAAAGATAATTTAAAAAAAATTTTATACAATTTATATGATTAAAAAAAGTCTTAAAATTAATAAATTTAATCAATAAATTAAAGATATGTTTTTATTATAGAAATTAAAAACGTGACAAATAATTTTTCTAGATTACTTAATTTTAATTTTAATAATAATTAAAGTAAAATATATTTATAAATATAATATTTACGTATAACATTACATTTACGTGTTTATTGTTTATAAATATTTTTGCTGTTACACTTTTTTTTTATTTTGCGAAAGATATATACTTAATACATTTGATTAAATCAAAGAAGCAATTAATACTGTAGTAAGTCTAAATTTTAAATTTTAAAGATTGCAGGAAGACGCAAAATGACGGCAACAGAAATTACCGACACTACGATAAATACGCACACAATCAATAATGTTGTTGAAAAAAATAATGCAATCGTAAAGATGGAAAAACTGAACGAAGAAGATGAAATTAAATTGGAAGACTTAGCGCCAGATGGTGGTTGGGGATGGATTATCGTATTAGCAATGATATTAACTTTCGTTAGTGCAATATGATTATAAGATATAATAGTGGTCAGCTATTAAATCGAACATATTATTTTTCTACATAATGTCTTATTTGCTTAAAAAATGGTTTGGGACATTTCCTGATATAAGCAATTTTATGTGTAAATATGTAATATGTAACTCATAATTTTGTTTTGTTATTCCAGTTTACCACGATAGGTCCGTCATCATCATTCAGTATAATCTTCGCCGAATTTCTCGAGGCGTCCGGACAGGCAGGCATGGCATCAAGTTTATTCAATTCTCTCTTTATGATCACCTATTCTCTTGCGAGTAAGCACACATATATAATATATGTAATAATTGCATAATAACTAATAGAAAATTTCTATATAAATTTAATAGTAACAATAATAGTAACAATGGGCTTATAAGAAAATCTATACGTTTCATAGCATTTTTTCTCGGTATAAAATTTTCCTCGGAAGAAAAAACTCGTATTTGCATCCGTGTGATAAGGAGATTAAGTGACTCTCGAAATAAACCTCATCATTTACTCTTATCGACGTTAAACAATTAAGACATTGGCTTCTTGTTACAATTTATTTGCAATTTATGCCTTCAAAATAAGATTAAATTGATTAATGTGTGTACCGAAGCTTTAATCTGATACATATTTGCGACATGTACGATTGTAATATGTATATTTCCGTAATATCAAAGATTCACAACACATGATTTGAATCTCACTATAGTTGAATTCTTGTCTATAAAAAAACGTATTTTTTGTTATCATATGTTCTTGGAATATATCACGATTATCAGATTAGAGCTAATAGAGAAATGCGCTTTTGCTGTCAATGGGAAATCTTTCCATCTGTGACTGAGTCCAAAGATAACAACAAATTTTATTTTAAATTCAGCGAAGATCTTCGAATAAAAAATTAAATAGAGTTTCATATCTATTTCCTTTATTGTTATACACTATGCCACCATTTTATTTTTGTCTAATATTGCTAATATTACGATATCGCGATGTCATAATATGTGAATACAATATATTTTATGTGTACAAATATAATTTATAAATATAATTTATAAATAATTAAAAAATAATAAATATGTAATACAAATAAAATATAATAAATTATATTATAAAAATTATTTAAATACTGGAAATTTTTAACGTTTAAAAAATATATTAATAATATAATGCTCATTAGAAAATGTATTTTTCAAATGTATAGCAATAGGAAATGTATTTTATCAATAATAAAATAGTTTCTCTTTTTTCCGTTCATGCATTAAACACAGACAAATGTTTTTTGCAGGCTTGCTTACCGACACATTGCTGAAGAGACATACTCCAAGACTAATTGGAGTTGTGGGTGCAATCTTCTTTGCGTTACCAAACGTCGCTCTGGCATTTGTTAGAAACATATACGATGTCGCTTTCATCTGTTTTCTTCAAGGTTTTGGATTTGGCTTTATTATTACGATCTCTAACACGGTTTTCAACTCGTACTTCGTGAAGAAAAGACCAAAAGTAAAGCAGTCGCATTTTATGCTCGTTGTTTAAGAATACCGAATTCTTCTAACTTATTCTCAAAATACTTTTTTTTCTCTTTTAGGTAATGTCCGCATCGCAAATCGTTATTGGACTTGGCTCAATCGTATATCCTATGTTGTGCGGATGGTTATTGACGGAGTATGGTTTTCGCGGTATATATAAGTTTTGCAAAGACAGAGGTTCTAGAACTTTATTACAATTGATTTTTGTTTTCCGCTTGTGTTAGGTACCGCGGCAATCGTAGGCGGGATCAGCCTTCACAGCATTGTCGGTATGTCATTGATGCATCCCGTGGAATGGCATGCCAAAAAGCCGGAGGAAGTTCGTGCTGAAAGAGCGCACGAGAAAAAACAACGAATGTTTCGAGCAATGTCCAATCGTCGTTCAACCATCGCCGTGATTCACGTCTCTTCTAAAACTAAATGTAGCAGTCTTCTTAGTCTCAAAGAAGAAAATGAAATGCCTTTGCTAATTGAAAATTCTAAGGTGATAAAATTTAATAAATACAATCTTTTCCTTTTTTATCAATTAAATTTTAATTTTTTTAATTGATTATATTTTTCAATTTATGTTTACGTTAATTTTATTCGTCAGCTTTCTACACAAAGAGTTGCGTCAGTCTCAGCTATCGAGAATGGAATTCGCGGAAGTTTGGCGCGTATACGAGCTATCTCAGCCTCCAACTTGGTCAATTTGGCGAATCGTACGATTTGTATATTGAACGATACACGGGAAATTCTGGAGAAGAGAAACAAGGAGTGGCAAATAAGTAGAGAAATCAAAGAGGAGCAAGAGAAACAAGATAAGGAAATTCAGGAGAAGGAAGAGAAACAAGATAAAGAAATACAGGAAAGGGATGAAAAACATGATCAAGAAATCCACGAGAAAGAAGAGAAACAAGACGCTGAGGGGCAAAGCGTTGAAAAGAAGATAAAGTGAGTACAGTGTTTCTAATTATTTGTAAACGTAATTGAATTATATAACTCAAGGTTAATATATCTGAACAGTTTAGGAGCTAATGGTTCTATTATAATTAATAGCTATTTCATCTTTTTATATATAAGATTCAAAACCATTCTGAAGGAACTTGTGGACATGTCTTTGGTGAAAAATTTATGTTTCCTAAATTTATGCTTTGGTGTAAGTTTCGTGTGTACATCCGACTTTGGTTTTTCCTCTCTTCTTCCTCTTATAATGACCGATGCGGGATATACGAAATCGGAAGCCGCAATAAGCATGACAGTTAGTGGAATAGCCGAGTGGACGTCAAAAATTCTGCTAACAATTTTTACACTGGTAGTAAACGTAAAGCAGAAATACATATTTTTCACAGCTACAATCTTCATGGAATTCGCCAGAATAGGTAAGCCTCTTAATCTTATAATTAAATAGATTGTATCATAAACATTTAAAATAAGAAAATTACGGTATGCAGGATTTTTGAAGTACAGCAATACGATTATGAGCGCATATATTATGATAGCAATAGTCGGTGCCGTGCGATCATGGTTGCTGGTTCCGCAACCTCTAGTTATTATAGAAGAGCAGGATATAAAAAAATTCGCATCGGCTTATGGTATCTACTCTGTCATCAGCAGTCTAGTCACAATAATTTTTGGCGCTATTATAGGTAAATGACTTTAATTTATTATTAATATTTAACTTAATTATTATAGATAAAAAGATTGTATACTTAATATATATTTTTTAAACATAATACAATTTTTTATACTTTATATAATTATATATATTATAGGACTAATTAAGGATTGGACTGGTAGTTATGAAATGTATCAAATCTCTCTACTAGTGTTAAATAGTGCATTTATTTTGCCATGGATTTTGCAATTTATCTTTGTAGACTTTAAAAAATGGCGAAAACAACGTGCGATAAACCAAAATGAAATCTATCGATTATGAAGGAAAATAAAAAAATACAGAACAAGATTTAATAACTTATATTGCTCTAGTTATTAAATTTTATTTTTGTCCTTCCTTTATTTAGTAAAATATTTAGTATTTTCAGTGTTCAGTGTTATATTCATGATTCACATGGAACATATATGTATATATAGCGCTTTATATATAATTTAGATAAAAAGAATTTTATATTTTGTAGTTAAAAATTAAATTCTTTTTTATACATACATAAATGTATTTAAATAAATCAAATTTATATATTTATATATTTGCGAAAACATATGAATAAATTATACTTTTAAAAAGAAAGTTATTATAATTATGAGATATATTATCAAAGTTGCAAGATAATTCAACAATATGATTTTTTTGCTTTGAACTTTGCTTAAAATTTTGCTTACAAGAGAAGTATCGGAACTGCCCCCTTGATTTAATGAGCTTCGAGT